AAATTGGCTCCAAACAGCCCTAAATTGATTCAAAATGGCCCCAAATTGGCTTAAATGGCACCAGATTGGCTCAAAATGGGCCCAAATTGCATCCAAATGGCATCAAATTGGCTTAAAAGGCCCCAAATTTGGTTAAACAGTCCCAAATTGGTTTAAATCAGATTGGCTCCAAAGGGCCCCAAATCCCCTCAGAATGGCGTAAAAACTGGCTTAAAACAGCCTGGAAAACGTGCTCAAAACGGGCCAAAATCTGCATGAAATGGCCCAAATCGGCTCAAAGCAGCCCAAAATCAGCCCAAATTGGCCTTCAGTTCCCCCCAGTGGCCCCAAATCTGCCCAATCTCAGCCTGGAGCCACCCAGAGTTGGGCTTTGATGACGTCACCGGCTCCTTTAGCCTCCGATTTGCCCCAAAACGGCCCCAAACTGGGGCCAAATCCCCCCCCTCAGGCCCCTCCCCCATCCCGCAGGCCCCTCCCCCACCCCACAGACCCCTCCCCTGCCCCGATATATTTTAATAAAGCTCAATTTTGGGGGCAAATCCAGCGATATCGGGTTTATTTACACGTGAGGCCCCGCCCCCCCCCAGGGGAGGTTAATTAATGGGGCTGTTAATTAAATAATAATAATAATAATATACAGGGGGGCGTGGGGAGGGGTGGGGCTTATGTACAAGGGGGCGTGGCTTTGGGCATGCAGGGAGGGGCCATGCTGGGGGAAACAAGGGGGCGTGGCACAATTTTGGGAAGGTTGAAAGGGGGCAGGGCCAAAGAAGGGTCACCTGCCCCAGGTGTCGGGGTGGGCGTGTCCCCAAAGGGGGGGCGTGTCCGACAAAAAGTGGGCGTGTCCCACCAGCTCCAGGCGCGTCCGAGGCGTGCGTTGGGGGCGTGGCCTCCCCCGGTGGGCGTGTCCGCGGGTGGGGCGGGCGTGGTCAGGCGCGAGGGGGGAGGGGCTGGCTGACCCTCACGCAGCCCCAATAGGCCGCGCGGAGCAGACACGCCCCCGCCCCCGCCCCCAGCGCCGCCCAGGCCGCCGGGACCCACCGCGCCCGACGCCAGAGCCACCACGTACCGGCCTGATGGCAACAAAACCCGGCCTAAATCCCAGTTAAACCCGGCCTAAGTCCCAGTTAAACCCGAGCTAAATCCCAGTTAAACCCGACCAAAATCCCAGTTAAACCCGGCCTAAACCCTGCCCACCACGCCCAGCGCCAGAGGCACCATTGGACCCCTCCCTTTAGGCCACGCCCTCTCCCATCCCCTCCCCTTCAGACCACACGCCCCCCAGGCCCCTCCCCTTTAGGCCCCGCCCCTCACCGCGAGCCCCGCGGCGGCCCCGCCCATCAGCAGCGCCCCCAGGAGGCAGCACAGGCAGCGTCGCCGTGGGAACCGCCGCCCAATCGCAGACCTGCGTCCAACAAAGGGGGCGTGGTCATGTCCCCGGGGGGGGCTTGCCCACAACAGGAGGGGGGGCGGGGTCACACAGAGACCACGCCCCCAAGAGGGGTGGGGTCACTTACACCTTGCGGCAATGGGGGCATCGGGCCAGGGAGCGGTCAGGGAGCTCCGCCCACTGTGGAGAGGGGTGGTGCTTAGAAGGGTGTGGTCGCAGGGGAGGGGCTTAGAGGGGTGTGGCTGCAGGGGAGGGGTTTAGAGGGGTGTGACTGCAGGGGAGGGGCTTAGAGGGGTGTGGTCAGACATTTAGATGGGTGGGGTGGGGCTTAGATGGGTGTGGTTATTGGGGTGGGGGTTGGAGGGGTGCAGTCATTGGGGGCGGGGCTTAGAGGGGTGTGGTTGAGACAGGGTGGGGTTTAGAGGGGTGTGACCAGGAGGGGGTGGGGTTTAGAGGGGTGTGGTCATTAGGGGGGTTCAAAGGGGCATAATCGGGGGTGGGGTTTATAGGGGTGTGGTCAGAGGAGGTGGGGTTTAGAGGGGTGTGGCCGGGTGTGGCCGGGGTTTGAGTGGGTGTGACCGGGGGGATCGGGGCTCACCAGGAAGGGCCCCCCGCAGTGGGCACAGGCCACGCGAACCCCCCCCGGGGGCGGGTCGGGGCTGGGGGCCCCCGAGTGCACCGGGCCAAGGTTGATGATGCGTTTACTGGGGAGAGGGAACTGGGTTAGACTGGGGGAGACTGGGAGGGGATTGGTGATCCCAGTGAGGAGCGATGGCCCCGCCCAGTGCTCCCAGTATGGCCCGGGGACCCTTCTCAGTGCTCCCGGTATGGCCCAAGGACCCTCAAAATGTTCCCAGTACAGCCCAATGACCCCTCCTAGTGGTCCCAGTATGGCCCAGAGACCCTTCCTAGTGCTCCCAGTATGGCCCAGTGACCCCTTCAAGTGATCCCAGTATGGCCCAGCAACCCTGCCCAGTGCTCCCAGTATGGCACGGTGACACCTCCCAGTGCTCTCAGTATGGCCCAATGACCACTCCTAGTGATCCCAGTATGGCCCAGTGACCCTTCCCAGTGCTCCCAGTATGACCACTCCTAGTGATCCCAGTATGGCCCAGTGACCTCTCCCAGTGCTCCCAGTATGGCCCAGGGACACCCAAAATGATCCCAGTATGGCCCAGTGGCCCCCCAAAGTGACCCCCAGTGCTCCCAGTGTGGCCCAGTGCCCCCTCCCAGTGCCTCCCACGCCCCTCCCAGTGCTCCCAGTCTGACCAGTAAGGCCGTGGGCAGGCGATGCGCTGGGCCGAGGCCCTGCACACCAACAGGCAGTTGCAGGGGCACCGCACGTATTTCTTCCCGCCGGGGGCCGTGCGGATTGGCTGAGGGGGGTGGGCGCGAAATTTTGGGAGGGGGCGTGGCCTCAGGGCAGGGCCCTGCCCCCTAAAACCCCACCACCCATTTTAGCCCCGCCCCTTAGCTCCAGCCCACTTTAGCCCCACCCATTCCCAGAGAGAAGGTTCCATTGTAAGCCCCGTCCCCTTAGGCCACACCCATCGCACCCAAGTCCCGCCCCCTCCAAAACCCCACCCCACCAGACCAGCCATTGAGCCACCCCCCCTAGGCCCCGCCCCTTTAGGCCCCGCCCCTCTAGACCCCCTTTGTCCCACCCCCTTAAGGCCACACCCTTTTAGACCCTGGTGGTCCCACCCCCTTTGTTCTCTCGCCCTTCAAGCCCCGCCCCCACAACCCCATTTACTGCCCCCTTTAGGCCCCGCCCCTCGAAGTCCCTCCCACACCCAACCACACCCTCTTCCCGCCACTTTGGCCCCTCCCCTTCCCTCCCGCTCTGACCACGCCCCCCTTCCGACCCCGCCCGCCCCCTCCAGGCCCCGCTCCCTCACCGTGGCCTCCCCGCACCCCCCGCACTTCACCACGTGCTGGTGCGTTTTGCCCTCGACGCTGATGGGCCGCTGGCACACCCGGCACGTGACGGCGGGCGGACCCGCCCCGCCGGCCCCTCCCGCTGCCCCCCCGGCCCCCGGAGCCGCCCCCTCCTCGGGGCTGCCCAGCGGCGAGTACGGGGGCGGGGCCTCCCCGCCAGCACCTGGAAGGAGAGGGGGGAAAGAAGGGGATGGGTCGCTCAGCCGCGCCCCCCCACAACGACCACACCCCCACCCCCCACCCCACCCCTTCCCCGAACCTCACCGGCGGCGGCCCCGCCCGGGCCCGGCCCCGCCTCGGGCGGCAGCAGCGGCGACCGCTCCCCGTCCGCCATGACAGCGCCGAGGCCGCGCCCCCCGCCTCGCCGGCGATTGGCCCGCCCCGCCAGCGTGACCGCGGGCACCGCCCCTTCCCGTCTCCTATTGGCTCCCTCGCGGAGTCACGTGACGTCCCTTTCTGCGTTGCCAGGCAACGCCCCGCACTAGCCTTTCCGGGTTCCGCCTTCGCGCGCTCCCATTGGCCCCGAGCTCCTCACGTGTTGGCCCTGGCCGTTGCCAGGCAACTCCCCGCATCGCTTTCCGGGTTCCTTCACGTCCTCCCATTGGCCCCGCGGGCCTCACGTGACGCCCTTCTTTAGCGTTACCAGGCAACTGCCCGCACACCCCCTGCCCCTCTTCCGGGTTCCTCCTCCCGCTCCCATTTGCCCGTGGGCTGTCACGTGATTTCTCCCAAACACCCCCTCTTTCCGCGTTCATCCCGCCCTCACCTCCATCCGCGCTCCGATTGGCCGGCGCACCCGTCCTCCTTCCGCTCTGGTTGGTCACTGCTCCCGCCACTCAATCCCCATCCCTCCGAGCCTCGCCCGCGGCGGTTTCCATGGTGACGCTGCGGGGACAGGGGCCGCTGATTGGCCGACCGTTGGCGGCGCAAGGGGGCGCGTCCGCGCGCGGTGACGTCACGGGTATATAATCGGCGGGCGGGGGGGGCGGTGGCGCATTCACTGCTCGATGGAGGGGAGGTACGGGGGTCCCGGGGGGGCGTTAATGGGGGGTTTGAGGAGCCAAATGTGCAGGTTCGGGGGGTGAATGTGGCGTTTTAGTGGGGCCTCGCATCCCTCTGGCCGCCAATGAGTGCGGGGGGCGTGGCTTATGTTCTAATCCCCCCCCCGCCCAGACCCCAGGGGATGGGGGGGAACAACGACAGGTTGTGAGGGGGCGTTTTGGGGGAGGGGGCTCGGGGGGACGTTGGGAGGTTTCGGGAGGGTCCGGGGGGTGTTTTTGGGGCGGGGGAGGGTCGGCCCCGAGTCCCAAAGTCCGTCTGGCCCCGGGCCCGGGCCTGGAGCGGCTCCTGGGCGAGGGTCAAGGTCGGGGGGTGGGGGGACATGTGGGGCCTGGGGGGTAATTGGGGTCGGTTTAGGGGGGCTGGGGCCCGCTGGGGGGGCTGGAGTCGCTGGGGGGTCACTGGGGGTCATTTTGTGGGTCTGGGGGGTCCTTCTGGGGGTCACTGGAGGGTCATCAGGGGTCACCAAAAGGGTCCTGGGGTGATGCCAGGGGGCCCTGGGGGGCGGTGGGGTTGTTTTGGGGGTGATTTGGGGGCGATTTTGGGGATGGTTTTGGGGGTGATGTTGGGATGATTTGGGGATGATTTTGGGGGTGGTTTGGGGATGATGTTGGGGGTGATTCTGGGACTGATGTTGGGGTGATTTGGGGGATGATTTCGGGGCGGTTTTTGGCCCCCCCAGCTACGAGGCCTGTGCAGAGGCGGCGGCCTGGCTGCGGGCCCGGCTCCAGGAGCCCCCCAGGGTCGCCCTGGTCTGTGGGTCGGGGCTGGGGGCTCTGGCCCAGGAGCTCACGGACCCCCAGAGCTTTGACTACGCCGACATCCCCCACTTCCCGCGCAGCACCGGTACGGGGGGGCTGGGGGGGGATTTGGGGGTGATTGGAGGGGTCCTTGGGGGACTGACGGGCATTTGGGGAGGGAATTTGGGGGTCTGGGGGGCAGTTGTGGGGCTGGGGAGGGTGTTTGGGGGCTGGGGGGCACTTGGGGTCGCTTTGGGGGTCACTTTGGGGGTGGATGGGGTGGTTTGGGGTCACTTGGGGGTGGATGGGGTGGTTTGGGGTCACTTTGGGGGTGGATGGGGCGGTTTGGGGTCACTTGGGGGTGGATGGGGTGGTTTGGGGTCACTTTGGGGGTGGATGGGGCGGTTTGGGGTCACTTGGGGGTGGATGGGGCGGTTTGGGGTCACTTGGGGGTGGATGGGGCTGTTTGGGGTCACTTGGGGGTGGATGGGGTGGTTTGGGGTCACTTGGGGGTGGATGAGGTGTTTTGGGGACACTTTGGGGGTGACTTTGGGGGTGGTTTGGAGTCACTTGGGGGTGGATGGGGCGGTTCGGGGTGACTTTGGGGGTGGTTTGGGGTCACTGTGGGGGTCACTTGGGGCACTGGAGGGTCCCTCGGGCCCAGGGGTGACCCCCCCGTCCCCCCCAGTGCAGGGCCACGCCGGGCGGTTGGTGGTCGGGCGCCTGGGGGCGGGGCCTTGCGCCGTCCTGCAGGGCCGCTTCCACCTGTACGAGGGGTACAGCCCCGCCCAGGTGAGGCACACCCCTCCCCAGGCCACGCCCCCTTCCCCGGGACACGCCCACCACCACCGCCCTGAGCCCCCACCCCTTTCTTGACAAGCCCCGCCTATTTATTATGTTCTGTTCTTAAGCCCCTCCCCTCTCTCTTTAGGCCACTCCCCTTTACTCCAGAGTTCCTCCCACTCTTTAGTCCCTCGTCTCCCTCCCCAAGCTCCTCCCCCTTTTCTGGCCATGCCCCCTGCCTCAGCCACACCTCCATTCCCTTAGCCCCGCCCCCTCATTTGCATGAACTCACCCTCCCACCCTTAGCACCCCCTGCCGGTGGTGACGCTCCTTTGCACGTTGGCCCCACCCCATCCCTATTGGCCCCACCCTTCATTTGCATGGCAGTGTCCATCATTTGCATAGCCACGCCCCTTTTTTTACACTGAGCGCCCCCTATAGGTGGTGACATTCTCTGCCCCCGTTCCTTGGCCCCACCCCTGATTTGCGTGGCTCTGCCACATTTGCATGACCATGTGCCTCATTTGCATAACCACACCCCTCATTTGCATGTCCCCGCCCCCAGGTGGTGATGCCGGTGCGCACCCTGGCCCTGCTGGGCGTCCACACGCTGGTGCTGACCAACGCCGCGGGCGCCCTGAGCCCCGGCCTGGCCCCCGGGCACCTCCTGGTCATCCGCGACCACATCGACCTGCCCGGGCTGGCCGGGCGCAGCCCCTTGGTGGGGCCCAACGACGAGAGGTGGGCGGGGCCGGCGGGGCGGGAGGGGCCATGGCTCCTTCCCAGGGTGACCTTGGCCACCCCCAAATGGACACTGGCCATTCCCAAGGTGTCCTTGGCCACCCCCAGGTTGACATTGGCATTCCCAACTGCATGTCGACCATTCCCAATTTGATCTTGGCCATTCCCAAGGTGATCTTGACCATTCCCAAGGTGTCCTTGGCCATTCCCAGGTTGGCCACGGCCATTCCCAAGTTGGCGTTGGTCATTCCCACGTTGATACTGGCCATCCCAACTGGATGTTGGCTGTTTCCAAGTTGTCCATCCCCATTCCCAAGTTGACCACGCCCATTCCCAAGCTCACCACGCCCATTCTCAAGCTGACCACGCCCATTCCTGGGCTGTTCCCGGCAGGTTCGGGCCGCGCTTCCCGGCCATGACGGATGGATATGACCCCGCCCTGCGGCGCCTGGCGCTGGCCCTGGCCCCGCCCGAGCTCCACGCCCGCCCGGGGGTCTATGTGGGCGTGGGGGGGCCCAGCTACGAGACCTGGGCCGAGTGTCGGCTCCTGCGGCGCCTCGGCGCCGACGCCGTCGGTGAGTCGCGGGGGGGGGCCAGAACCGACCCAAAATGGGCCCAAAACGAGCCCAAAACGGGCTGGACATGCCAAGGATGTGCTGGGGGGAGGAGGGGGACGCATCTGGGACACACCTGGGACCATTCCCAAGTTGTCCACCCCATTCCCAAGTTGACTTTGGCCATTCCCAAGCAGACCTTGGCCATTCCCAAGCTGACCACGCCCATCCCCAAACTGACCACACCCATTCCCAAGCTGACCCCGCCCATTCCCTGGCTGACCCTGGCCCCGTTCCGCAGGGATGAGCACGGTGTCGGAGGCGGCGGCGGCGCGACACTGCGGCCTGCGCGTGCTGGGCCTGTCCCTCATCACCAACGCGGCCCCGGGCGACGCGGACGAGGAGGAGGAGGAGGGCGGCGGCGGGGCGGGGCCGGCGGCCGAGGCCGCGCCCCCCGGGCACGAGGAGGTGCTGGCAGCAGCCCAGGAAGGGGCGCGGCACCTCCGCCGGCTCCTGCTGGCCCTGGCACCGCGCCTGGCCGAGGGGGCACGCGCGTAGGGCGGCGTGGGGGTCACCGGGGCCTGGGTCCGTCCCCTGTCCCTCCCATGTCACTCACACGCTGTTACTGCTGATTCCAGCCTTAAATCTCCCCCATTGGTCTCGTGTCCATTCCATGTCCATCCCGTGTCCATCCTGTGTCCGTCCCGTGTCACTCACACGCTGTTACTGCTGATTCCAGCCTTAAATCTCCCCCATTGGTCTCGTGTCCATTCCATGTCCATCCCATGTCCATCCCATGTCCATCCCATGTCCGTCCCGTGTCACTCACACGCTGTTACTGCTGATTCCAGCCTTAAATCTCCCCCATTGGTCTCGTGTCCATTCCGTGTCCATCCCGTGTCCGTCCCATGTCACTCCCTTGTCACTCACACGCTGTTACTGCTGATTCCAGCCTTAAATCTCCCCCATTGGTCTCGTGTCCATTCCGTGTCCATCCCGTGTCCGTCCCCTGTCCCTCCCGTGTCACTCACACACTGTTACTGCTGATTCCGGCCTTAAATCTCCCCCATTGGTCTCGTGTCCATTCCATGTCCATCCCGTGTCCGTCCTGTGTCCCTCCCGTGTCACTCACACGCTGTTACTGCTGATTCCAGCCTTAAACCCCCCCATTGGTCTCGTGGCCATCCCGTGTCCATCCCATGTCCATCCCATGTCCATCCCGTGTCCATCCCGTGTCCGTCCCGTGTCACTCACACGCTGTTACTGCTGATTCCGGCCTTAAACACGCCTCGTCGGTCCCGTGTCCATCCCGTGTCAGTCACGTGTTGAATTCCTGCTGATTCCAGCCTTAAACATCCTTCGTCGGTCCCGTGTCCATCCCGTGTCCGTCCCGTGTCCGTCCCATGTCAGTCACACATTGTTACTGCTGATTCCAGCCTTAAACATCCCCTGTTGATCCCGTGTCCATCCCGTGTCAGTCACATGTTGAATTCCTGCTGATTCCAGCCTTAAACATCCTTCGTCGGTCCCGTGTCCGTCCCGTGTCCATCCCGTGTCCGTCCCGTGTCCATCCCGTGTCAGTCACACATTGTTACTGCTGATTCCAGCCCTAAACATCCTTTGTCGGTCCCGTGTCCATCCCGAGTTGAATTCCTGCTGATTCCGGCCTTAAAGCCCCGGTCCCGTTGCTCCCGTGTCCGTCCCGTGTCCGTCCCATGTCAGGGTCTCGTGTCATCACGTGTTGGTTCCGTGTCGATCCTGGTGGTGCCTTATCCCGTGTCAGTCCCGTGTCATTCCCGTGTCGTTCCCGTGTCACCCCTCCCTGGATTCGCTGCTGGTTCTGCCTTAATCCCTTTTAAATCCCGTGACAATCCCGTGTCTGTCTCGTGTCATTCCCGTGTCGGCCCTCTCCCCGTGTTCCCTGCCAATGGTGCCTTAATCCCACGGGAATCCCGTGTCAATCCCATGTAAGTGCCATGTCAATCCTGTGTAAGTCCCATGTCAATCCCGTGTGAATCCCATGTCAATCCCGTGTAAATCCCATGTCAATCCCATGTAGTCCAGCCCGAGTTTATCCCGTGTAAATCCCATGTCAATCCCGTGTAAATCCCATGTCAATCCCATGTAAATCCCATGTCAATCCCATGTAAGTCCCATGTCAATCCCATGTAAATCCCATGTCAATCCCATGTAAGTCCCATGTCAATCCCGTGTAAATCCCATGTCAATCCCGTGTAGTCCAGCCCGAGTTTATCCCGTGTAAATCCTGTGTCATTCCCGTGTTCTTCCTGTGTCAATCCTTCCCCCCTCCCCCCCTCCAGGGCATTAATTACCCCCCGTTAACGAGCCACAAACTCTCAGGACAAGGGGCCAGTGACCTCCCCCCTCCTGGGCTAATTCGCCCTCATCTCTTAATTATTCGGGGCTAATTAGCCCCACTCTGTTAATTATCCCGGGCTAACTAATCTCCTTGGGTTAATTAGTCTCGTGGGTTAATTATTCGGGGTTGATCGCCCCGTGGATTGATTGGTCAGGGCTAATTGGCCCAACTGCTTGATTATTTGAGGTTAATTAGCCCACCCCAATAATTCGCTCCAGGTTAATTGTTATTGATGATTCCAGATTAATTAGCCCAGTTAATGTATTATTCAAGATTAATTAATCCCATTAATGTATTATTTGAGGCTAATTAGTGCCATTAATGTATTATTTGAGCTTAATCGATTGCTTTGATTAATTATTCGAGGCAAATGCGCCACATTAATTATTTCTGCAAGGCTGAATGAGCCCTCAATTAATTATTCTGGGCTAATTAGCCCCGATTATTGAAGATCCAAGGCTTTAATGACTAATGGTTCTGGGCTGATTAATTATTCATTAATTGTTCCAGGTTGATGAGCTCCTCCAGTTAATTATTTGGCTTAATTACCTGCACTGCTTAATTTATTCAGGGCGTTGATTAATTAACTGAGGCCAATTACACCTGCAAAGATTAATTAGCAAAGGTTAAGGGGCCCCCTGTTTAATTACTCAAGGCTGATCAATCTCACTGATTATTGAAGCTTAATTAGCCCCAGGAATCGATAATTAATTAATTATTTGAGCCTAATTAACTATTCAGTGCTGATTAATGCTGCTAATTATTTGAGCCTCATTAACCACTTGATTCGTTAATTAATTTTTTCAGCCCAATCAGCGCTCCTAATTAATCATTCCAGCTCATTTACATTCCGAATCAGCCCCTCCCCCCTCCCCTGGGGCTTTAATTAATTATTTAATTAACGGGGGCGGGGGGGGGGGAGGGGCAGGGGTGGGGCCGCGTCGGGTCGTTCCGGAGCCTTAATTAAAGTTGATTGAAGTTAATTAAAAGTGGAGCAAAGTTAATTAAAGTTGATTAAAGTTCGTTAAAACCCCCGAGCGGCGTCGCCGGGGTGGGGGAGGGGCGGGGGGCGGGGGTGGGGGGAGGGGCGGGGTGGGGGGGTGGGTATTTTTAGCCACGCCCGCCCCTCCCCCCGCCGTGGGAACGGGGTGTGGCCGGGGGGAGGGGCCGGGGCTGGGGGTGGGGGAGGGGCGAAAGGGGTGGGGAGGGGCCGTTTCCCTAACCGACCCCGGGGTCTCCCCCGGGGGGGGGGGGGGGGGTTGGGGGGGGGGGGTGAGGGGTCGTGACCTTTGACCCCCCCTCCCCTCCCCCAAATCCAAGTCAGGGTCATGGAGCCGCAGGAGGCCGCCCCTCCCCCACCGCCGGAGGTCAAGGTGAGATTGGGGGGGGGGAGGGGCGGACACACCCAGCGCCGCCCCTCCCCCACCCCGCCCCTCCCCCCACCCCCCTCCTCCCGGCGCGTTTTGGGGCAAAAAAAAGGGAGTTTGGGAGTCGGGGGGAAGGGGGGTGAGGAAAGGGGGGAGGGGCGGGTTGGGGGCATTTTTGGGGGGGAAAGGGGCGGGTTTGGGGGAAACCGTGAAGGTGGGGGCGGGGCCTGGGGCGGGGGAAAGGGAATTTGGGGTAAAAAGGGGGGGAAATGGGGAATTTTTGGGGAAAAGGGGGGGATTTGGAGGGAAAAAAGGGAAATTTGGGGGGAAAAGGAGGGAATTTGGGGGGGCAGGGAGGGATTGGGTATGGGGGGACCCATTGAGGCCTTTGTGGGAGCCACCCCAGGGCTTTTGGGGGGAGAAAGACACTGGGGGTTTCAGGGGGGGGGGGGGAACAAATTTGGGTAATGGGGCGGATGCCATGGGGATTCGAGGTGGAAAACACGGGGCCCTGCGTGGCTCCCCACATGGGCCACCGATTTTGGGGGTGAATAGAACCCATTTGGGGAGTGAAATGATATTTTGAGAGTGAAAACGGGGAGGTTTGGGGTGAAAGGAGCCCGTTTTGGGGTGAAAAGAGCCAATTTTTGGAGTCAGAGGAGTGTTTTGGGGGAGTTTCAGGGTGAAAAGGACCTGTTTTTGGAGTTAAGCAGGTGTTTTGGGGGAGTTTCAGGGTAAAAGGAACCCATTTCGGGGTGAAAAGAGCCTGGTTTTGGAGTCAAATGGGTGTTTTGGGGGAGTTGTGGGGTGAAAAGGGCCCGTTCTGGGAGCGGCACAGGCGCTCCGGGGCCGTTTCCGTGCCCCTCTGCGGCCGATTTTGGGGCTCAGAACCCCAATTTTCGGCCCTGCCGGCGGGTCCTGGGGGGCGTGGCCGCCCCTGACCCCCCCCCGGGGCGGGTCCCCCCCCCAGTTTTTGGAGACGCCGTTCGGGGGGGTCCACGCCTGGATCTCGGGGTCCCCCCGGCCCGGGCGCCCCGCCCTGCTCACCTTCCCGGACGTGGGGCACACCCGTGAGTCTCCCCTCCCCTCCCCGAAAAACAGCATCGCTGGGGGGAGGGAGGGACCCTCCCGCCCCTCCCCCACCCTGAGGTGACCCCCCCCCCTCACCCAGCCCCTCCCCCCCCAGACGAGACGTGTTTTGCCCCCCTGTTCGAGCACGAGGAGATGGCCGAGATCGCCCGGAGCTTCCACCTCGTGCACATCGACCCCCCCGGCATGGAGGAGGGGGCACCGCCCTACCCACCTGGGTAACACCCACTGCCCCGCCCACCCCCCTCAGCCTCGCCCTACCCACCTGGGTAACGCCCATGGCCACGCCCACCCCCCACAGCCCCACCCTACCCACCTGGGTAACGCCCATGGCCACGCCCACCCCCCACCCACCTCCCCGCCCTGCCCACCGGGTTAACTCCCATGGCCACGCCCACCAACCCCCCCCCCCCACACACACACCCACTGACCCGCCCTCCCCCCCCTTCTTGGTCCCTGGTTGAGACCTTTGACCCCCCCATGACCTCTTGACCCCCCCTTTGACCCCTCCCGACCTCTCCTGGACCCCTCCACCTTGGCACTCCCTTGACCCCCACTTTGACCCCAGTTTGACCCCAGTTTGCCCCCCCAGGTACCAGTACCCCTCCCTGGAGCAGTTGGCCGAGATGCTCCCGGGGGTCCTGCAGGCCCTGGGGTGAGTCTGGGGGGGCTTGGGAGGGCTCTGGGGGGTGGGGGAGGGGCTGGCCCCACCCCCCATGACCTCTGACCTCTCCCATATCCCCCCAGCATCAAAAGCATCGTCGGGGTGGGGGTGGGGGCCGGAGCCTTCGTGCTGGCCAAGTTTGGGGTGAGTCTGGGGGGGACTGGGGGGCTGGGGGGGGTTGGGGGTCACTTGGGGGATCCAAAGGGGTTGGGGGTCCCAGGCAGGGTCTGGGGAGGGTTGGGGGTCACTGGGAGGGTCACTGGGGGGGTCCAAAGGGGTTGGGGGTCACTGGGATGGTCCGGGAGGTGTTGGGGGTCCCTGGAGGGGTTTGGGGGGCAGTGGGGTGGTCTGGGAGGGATGGAGGGTTCCTGGGAAGGTCTGGGAGGGGTTGGGGGTCCCTGGGGGGCATTGAAGGAGTTGGGGGTTCCCGAGGGGGGGTCCAGGAAGGGCTGGGGGGTACTGGAGGGGTCCGGGAGGGGTTGGGGGTTTCTGGGGGGGTCCGGGAGGGGTTGGGGGTTTCTGGGGGGGTCCAGAAGGGGTTGGGGGTCCTTGGGAAGGTCCAGAAGGGGTTGGAAGTCCTTGGGAGGGTCCAGGAGGGGTTGGGGGTCCCTGGGAGGGTCCAGGAAGGGTTGGGGGTTCCTGGAGGGGTCCGGGAGGGGTTGGGGGTCCCTGGGAGGGTCCAGGAGGGGTTGGGGGTTCCTGGGAGGGTCCGGGAGGGGTTGGGGGTTCCTGGAGGGGTCTGGGAGGGGTTGGAGGGCCCCGGGGACCCGGGTGACTCCCTCCCCACCCCGTGACCCCCCCAAAAGCTGCTGCGCCCCGAGGCCGTGGAGGGGCTGGTGCTGGTGAACATCGACGCCCGCGCCAAGGGCTGGATGGACTGGGCCGCCAGCAAGGTGGGCTGGGGGGGCTCTGGGGGGGTCCCTATGGATCCCTCAGGGGGGCCTCTGGGGGTCCCACAGCGTTGCTTCCCCCCCCTCCCCGCAGCTCTCGGGGCTGACGACGTCGACGACCGAACTGATCCTGAGTCACCTTTTCACCCAGGTGGGGGCTGGGGGGGCTGGGGGGGGGAGGCTTGGGGGGGTCTGGGGGCGTCTGGGGAGGTCGGGGGGGCTTGGGCGGCCTGGGCGGTCCGGGAGGGTCTGGGGGGGCCAGTTATGAGGGTCCCAGGGGTCACTCCGGGGTTTGAGGGGGGGCCTGAAGGGGAATTGGGGGGTCCCGGGGGGGTCCCGGAGGGTCTTGGGTGGTCTGGGAGAGGGGAGGGAGGAGGGAGTCAGAGATCTGGGGGGGGTCAGAGGTGAGGGGTCAGCCCCGATGGGGATGGGGGTCTCTCTGTCTCCCGGGGGAGTCAGAGGTGACCCGGGGGGGTCAGAGGTGAGAGGTCAGCCCCGATGGGGGTGGGGGTCTCTCTGTCTCCCGGGGGGGGTCAGAGGTGACCCGGGGGGGTCAGAGGTGAGGGGTCAGCCCCGATGGGGGTGGGGGTCTCTCCCCACAGGACGAGCTGTCAGCCGCCCCCCCCCACGTCCGGCGGCTCCGGGAGCGTTTGGGGAAGACGCCGAACCCGGCCCTGCTCTGGTCCATGTTCGCCAGGTGGGGGGCGGGGCCTGAGAGGGTGTGGCCGGGTGGGCGTGGCTACAGCTGGGTGTGGCTGGAGGGCGTGGCCACAAAAGGGCGGAGTCCGAGGCAAAGGGAGGGTTACTTTGGTGGGGTGGAGCCTAAAGGGGGGTGTGGCCTGGGGGCACGGCCAAGGTGGGCGGGATCAAACAAGCCCCTCCCCCCCTTTCAGCCGCGGGGACCTCGGGCTGGAGCGCAGCGGGGCCGGGAGCCTGCGGTGAGTGACCCCTTGACCCCGACCCCTGGGACCACCCCATGACCCCAGCTCGCCCTGGGACGACCCCCTCTGACCCCATGACCTCTGCCCCCAGCTGCCCTGTCCTGCTCGTGGTCGGTGACAACTCCCCCCACGAGGACGCTGTGGTGAGTGGGGGGGTGGGGTCATGTTACCCCTGGAGTGAGGTCACGTGACCCCCATGACACCCCCCCATCCCCCCAAAGGTGGAGTGCAACGCCAAGCTGGACCCCACCCAGACCTCCTTCCTGAAGGTGACCTTTGACCCCCACACCCCCCGCTCCTGGGGGACATCCCCATGACCCCCCCCACCCCCCCTGACCCCCCCCCTGTGTTGCAGATGGCCGACGGCGGGGGGCAGCCCCAAATCTCACAGGTGAGAGGGGTCAAAGGTCACCCAGGGGGTGGGGGAGGGGTGGGTCATGACCCCCTCCCCCCCCACTGAGGGGGGTCACGGGCTGACCCCTCCCCCCCCCAGCCGGGGCGTCTCACCGAGGCCTTCAAGTACTTCCTGCAGGGGATGGGCTACAGTGAGTCCTGAATATGCATGAGGGGCTCGTTAATGTGCACGAGGGACTCGTTAATACGCATGAACGGCTCATTAATATGTGCCAGGGTCATTGATCTGTGCTGGGGTCATTAATATGCACGAGGGGCTCTTGGATGGGTGGCAACAGTCTCATTAATATGCACTGTACGCTCACTGATATGCACAATAGGCTCATTAATATGCACAGTATGCTCATTAATATGGTGCAGGGGGGGGCGCCAGAGGGGGCGTGGCTTAGGGGCTTCGGAAGCATGGCCTGAGTGGGGCGTGGTTTAAGGGGCGTGGTTTAAGGGCAGTGGGTTAGGGTTTAAGGGAAAGGGGGCGTGGTTTAAAGTGGGGCGTGGTTGAAGTGGAGTGGGTGTGGTTTAAGGGCAACAGGGCATAGTTGAAAGGGGGCGTGGTTTATGGGAACAGGGTGTGGCTTAGGGGAAAGGGGTGGGTGTGGGGGGTTTTTGGGGACGGGAGGGGCGTGTCCTGACGCTGCCCCTCCCCCAGTGGCGGCCTCGACCATGACCCGCCTGTCCCGCTCCAGGACCGGCTCCTGCTGCGCCCCGGGCGGGGAGGGCGGGGCCGAGCGGGGCCGGGCCCGGACCCTCAGCAGGGGCAGCACCGGGGCAGGGGCCGCCCTCCCCCCGACCCCCCCCCACCCCTGAAGGACCCCAAATATCCCCCGAGACCCCCTTCCCTCCCCCGTTCCTGTTTGAGACCTTCCCAGGAGCCTCCGATACCCTCCCTCAGCGATCCCTCCCAGGGGGGACCCCCCGAGACCCCTGGGACCCTCCGATACCCTCCCTCAGAGATCCCTCCCAGGGGGGACCCCCCGAGACCCCTGGGACCCTCCGATACCCTCCCTCAGCGATCCCTCCCAGGGGGGACCCCCCGAGACCCCTGGGACCCTCCGATACCCTCCCTCAGAGATCCCTCCCAGGGGGGACCCTCCGATACCCTCCCTCAGAGATCCCTCCCAGGGGGGACCCCCTGAGACCCCTGGGACCCTCCGATACCCTCCCTCAGAGATCCCTCCCAAGGGGGACCCCCCGAGACCCCTGGGACCCTCCTGAGACCTCCCCCCCGTGTGCCCCCAGTGCCCCCTGGGACCCCCTGTGACCCCTCCAATGAGCCCTGGGATGCCCCTGAAACACTCCCCCCCCCGTGCTCTGGAACCCCCTGAGACCCCCCAGTGCCCCCTGAGACCCCCCCCTCCCCAGTTATCACTGGGAACTCCCTGAGACCCCCCCCTCACCACCACAAGTGACCTTTGACCCCATTGTCCACTTGTCAATAAAGGGTCAAATCAGCAACGGAACCGACTCCACTGTGACCAGTATGGGAACTGGGAGGGGACTGGGGGTACTGGGAGGGACACTGGGAGGGGACAGGGAGGTGTTTTTTGAATTCCTTTTGCTTTTATTTTTAATGGGAGCACAGGGGATGAGACTGGGATGGGATTGAGGGCACTGGGGAGGGACTGGGATGGGATTGAGGGCACTTGGGAAGGACTGGGGGCATGGGGGAGGGACTGGGATGGGATTGAGGGCACTGGGGAGGGACTGGGATGGGATTGAGGGCACTTGGGAAGGACTGGGGGCATGGGGGAGGGACTGGGATGGGATTGAGGGCACGGGGGAGGGACTGGGATGGGACTGGGGGCACTGGGGAAGGCCTGGGATAGGACTGGAAGCACTGGGTTGCAGTGGGTCTCTCCCTGGAAAGGGACTGGGATGGGATTGAGGGCACTTGGGAGGCACTGGGGGCACTGGGGAAGGCCTGGGATGGGACGGGGGAGGGACTGGGGGCACTGGGTTGCAGTGGGTCTCTCCCTGGGGAGGGAATGGGATGGGACTGAGGGCATGTGGGAGGCACGGGGAGGGGAACGGGGGAAGGACTGGCATGCACAGGGACAAGACTGGGTCAGGGTTCTTCTTTAAGGAAGAAAAGACCCTCAGCCCCTCCACCCACCTGTGCCCCACTGACCACACGACACCAAAAACTCCACTCCAGGTGTCCCCCCCAGGCTCTGGGGGGAAGGGACCTCGCTGCTGATCCGGGGCTTTCCAGGGTCACTCCGAGCCGTGTCTTCGTCCCCCCAATGCTTTTCAGGGTCCCCCAAAGCTGGAATTGGCCATCCGACTCCACAAAATTCCACATGGATGAAGATTCCACCCAGGAAAAAGGCGGCAGAACAGAGAGCTCTTGCTGCCCAAGGAGTGCCCAGGGTGGCCCCCAACC